TGATTATTCTTATCGGTTGATCACGGATTTTACTATACCTGTTTCACTACACACATGGAATTCGATTCTCTCCACACACACTATGAGGATAGGGTTATACCCCGAAACGGCTGGTGCCTAAGTGTTGTACCATGATCTTCATCAAAAACATTAGAACTCTCTATATAAAAATCTCCTCAGCGCGTGCTGAAGAGAGAATGACTATCGGAGAAACCCATATCAAAATCAAACACCAATTTTCCATCAAACTAGGATACAAATATGTTTTCCAACAGACAATAAACTCGTCCCGAGATCAAAATCTCTTGGGAACAACCAGCAACTAGCACTAAATATGTTGCACCAGTCAACTCACTCCTAGACAGTGGCACTGAATACTGGATCATGTCCTTGGATTCTTTCCATCTTGCAAAAAAACCCACTCAACCTCGGCCAACGCCTCCCATAATCAGGCAGGCTGATGATACCCCTATGCTTAACTCCGGCACCCATATCACTCAACCTCTTACCCTCCGAATCGGTAACCATTTAGATAGGCTATAACCTTTGAGCTAAGCTCGTTTGCAGGAGAAGACCTCCTCATCCTACATTGATGGCCCAAGGAGTATCAACCATCTATCTATTGGGGACACATTAGCGTTAGCTTTCAGAGCAACAACTGTATGGTACATGGATGTTTCCTATCAGTCTAAAACATGTATGATTAAAACCTGGAAGAATTGGTCATCAGGATGTCCAGGACGTCACCCAAGAAGGAGATGACGATTGAACAACACCCCTGTTGGGCAAGGGCATTGATAAATGAGGCTCCTGTCAGTGCTATACCGACGGAGTATCAGGAACATGCAGATGTGTTCTTTAAAGAAGGAGCCGACCGACTGGCTGATAACTCTGAATGAGACCATACTATTCCTCTTATGGAAAGAAAGTAGCCTTTGTGGGGACCGATATATGTACCTTCCCCACTTGAATAGAAGGCGCTCTGGGAGTAGTTGGCCCAAACGCTAGCCTCTGTCAAAATAGTCCCCTCCACCATCCCAGCAGCAGCACCAACCATGTTCCTTCCGAAAGCTCATAAGAAACTTCGGTTATGTGTCGACTATAATGGCTTAAATACTATCACGGTCAAGAACCGCTACCTGCTGTCAGTCATGACAGAGCTGGCCGATGCACCGAAAGGAGCACTCTACTTCACGAAGATAAACCAGAAAAACTGCTATATTCTGATTAGGATTGCTAAGGTCAAAGAATGGAAAACAGCTTTCCGAACAAAATACGACACTTAAAATACAGGGTAGTGCCTTTCAGCTTGACCAATGCTCCTGCATTGTTCTATGTGGAGGTAAATACCATATTCAAGGATCTTCTAGATCAAGGCGTAGTAGTCTATTTGGATGACATGCTGATGTATCCCACGACTAGAGTAGAGCATACGACTCTGGTATGGGAGGTTTTGCAGTGACTGCGACGACACCATCTATACCGGCACCTCGAAAAAACGAAGCGGTACCAACAGGAGGTAGAATTTCTGGGATTCAAACTATCAGGAAAAGGGAACCAAATGTTACCAAAGAAAGTCCAAGCGATCAGGGAATGAGTAGCCCCAACCAAGGTCAAAGAACTTCAGTGCTTCTTCGGTTTCGCCAATTTTCTGAGATGATTCAACCATAGAAACTGCGAGGTTTACAGGCCCATGACCGATCTCCTAAAGAAAGGTACCGTATGGAAATTGTGCAGGGAATAGGAAGATGTGTTCGACGAACTCAAGATGAGATTTACGTCAGCTCCAATACTCTGACATTATTATGAACACCATGAACCAATCGTGGAGACTGATGCGAGTGATTGGGCCAAGGCCGCAGTACTCTCTCAGGTGTGCGAGGACGGTATTCTACATCCGGTAGTTTACCACGCTCGGAAGTTCAATGCGGCTGAAGTGAACTACGCGATCTACAACAAGGAAATGCTCGCAATAGTCTCTGCTCTCTTGACTTGGAGCCATTGGCCGGAAAGGACGGACAGCCCTCTCCGGATCAATTCGGATCACCAACACCTACAGTATTTCTTAAGAACCAAGAAGTTGTCGAGAAAACAACACGGATGGGCCGAGAAGATAGCATCTTTTTGCTTCAAGATACATTACCAATCAGACGAAAACAACGGCAAGCCAGATGCACTTACAAGATGCCCAGAATTCACGATGGAAAGGGTGGTAATGCGTGAGCAGCCCATAAAAGAGCTATTCAGCGCAGAACAATTTGTCAGAAAATCACTAACCAGCGTAGAACATCAGTAAGATTTTACAGGGTGTTCCCGTTAAACAGTGAGAAGCCCGATTGATTGTGCCGATTTAATATGGGTGGCATAGATGGCTACCAATGACTTTTGAGCGCATATGCAGCCAAGAGCAATTATTTGTATGTAGGAAAAAAGTCTGGAGAACATTACTAGTATTCTGAGTACGTGTTATATCTTATATCGAGTAGCCCTTCCGCCCGCAGCAATCACTGCCTCAAGTCTACGGAGCATACACCTAATCAACTTATACAATCTATCTATGCCAATATTCTTCAAGGCATTCTTCAGCTTGATCTTCAGAACCTCTGGTTCCGCTACTCGCCCAACTGTCTTTCCCAACTCGGTCTCCATCTCCCACCATAACGCTTCAATTGAATTGAGATATGGTGATTGTGCAGGCCAAGGAATGACATCCAGCTGGTTGATCTGTCTGTATATATTTGCCTGACCTTTATGCCCAGGTGCATTGCCTTCGACCATCCGTATACATCCATATTCTTCACAGGTATTATGCTGGAAAGGAATAAGATGACGGTCTAAGATTTGATCCACGTAGACTCTGAAGTTTATGGTGCCACCTGGGGGTTTGAAGACTAGCTCTGTCTTTATCTCCCTGCAGAATGCACCTCAGACCATTACACTATTCCTCCCTGACTACCAGGTCTCGTCGATACAGTTTGGGTATTACTGCTCTTCTGCATTTCTAGATACCTAATGTATATGGCTTAAGTCATCAGTATTGAAAGTTGACTCATCCGAGCATACAGTCCTAAACCAGTCCTCGTATTTCCAGTGTAGCATGTATTAACACCATTTTATTCGTTGAAAGAGATTCTGTGGCCTTATTCCCGACCTTGATACTGGTAGGTTAAGGATACAGTAATTGGCATAGTAGAATGAAAATAGTAAACTTATTTCTTCCCAGGGAGTCTTTTGTGATAGCCCATAGAGGCAATTACACCTTTAAGAGTACGAGGAGAATAGGCATATCTCATCTCCTGTATTATAGATTCCCAGTAGAGTTTTCTTATAGTCTTATCTCTTTAACAAACTCTCATAATCTTCGTTTCTCTGCCTCATTGAAGATAGGTGGTCTGCCTTATCTTCTTCTATTGGTAGGTTTCCCATTTAGTTTTGCCCTTCGATAGATTCCTTGACAGATACAATAATCCATCTCCACAGCTCTTCCCACCTCCTTCCAAGTCATACCAGAGTTCCTTAATGTGATAATCCTGAGTCTCTCATGCCTCGTGGTCTCTCTGCCATGGGCCTGATCACCGAAGTGATCAGAACGCCTCCCCTCTTGTCCCATGAGGTCGAACAGGCATCATAACAGCTCCCAAAGCCTCAAATGAGTACCCGCAGTCGTCAAACAGATGTCAAAACAGCTCCCATGAGGGTGAAGCACTACTTTCAGCCATCAAACGAGGTCGAACGGGGTCGAACGGGTCAAATGAGGTCAAGCGTGTAGTTGATGAGCTTGAACAGGTGTCAAAACAAAAAGGTCGAATGGGTATTCAAGCTTCATATAAAAAGTTCAAACGCTTTTGACATCGCAGTGGCGATGTCCTTTCTTGCCTCCAATATCAGCGAATCAGATCTTGCATTCAAGTCAACCAGTGAAAACAAGTTCTTCGTAATTACTGTGATCACCCTGTACATATTCATATATCTCCCAACATTCTTCTCGGTCTCCTGAGGTTCTCGTGAGACCTCAGACAGATTTCGATTCTCTGGAAACATAGGAGCCACTTCACAGAGTTAGTTGAGCTTGCTAATGAAACTGGGTCTGAAATGATTGGCGATTCCGAAAAGGAATAGAATCAGTTGGATCAGTGGTACGACATACCAAGCGTACAGCTGCTTCAGCCACTCCAAAGCTGGTATGAACAGGAAAGACGATGGGTTCGGAGAACAGTTCCGGATAAACACCTGCCTGACTCAAACCTTGAGATCTTCGGACCACGAAGCCTGCTTTCGTAAAGTGAGAGCCTGCCGCTGAATGTATTCCCGATTCGAATGACCCTACCTATGATGGTCGATGGGTAGTACCGGGCTACGCAATCAAACTGGTTATTGAGGAACATCATAATTGACCCGTAACGGGGTATTTAAGAAGGGATAAAACCCTTGAGTTGATCAACAGCGGCTACTGGTGGCCAGGAATGTCCACGGATGTAGCCATCTTCGTGAAAACTTGCAATGTATGCCGGAGACCCAAGCAAAGTCGCAGATACTTATCAATCCCTCAACCCCTCGAGTTAGCCACCACACCTTGTACCGATGTCTCGATTGATTTCGTAGTAAAAATGGCTCAGGAGAAATGAGTATTCCGTAAGCTATTGGTAGTCGTGTATCGTTTTACGAAAATGGCTCAATTGAGTCCAATGACGTGAATCAACGGGGAACAAATTGCTAACGCATTTGTCAAAGACTTCTGGCAATATCACGGACTTTTTAGTATCATCTTCTCGGACAGGGGAACACAGTTCTTATCCGCATTTTGGACAGCAATCACGGAAAGATTGGAGATTCGTAGGAGACTCTCGATATCATTCAACCCGCAAACTGATGGCCAAACAGAACGGGCCAACCGATACATGGAAGGTTACATCCTGGCATACACGGCAGAAACAGGCAAGAGGGGGAAGACCCTGTAACCCATTTGCGCATACCGCTACAATAAGGGAAAGCATACATCGATGGGACAATCGCTGTTGTATTGCAACTATGCCTTCCACCCTCTAGCGGATTGGCCTATGGGTGCACATATCAAACGTTTGGACGCCAATGGGAGTAACTACTTGGACAAGATCATTACGGCTCACGAGTCAGTAAGGGATACACTACAGAAGCCTTTCGACAGGATGGCATCAAAGTCAGGACTAGCGGTACAGCATTTCACTATAAGTCAGAAAGTCTTGATAGATACGCGAAATCTAGGAGGATATTCCAAGTGGTCAGACAAATTCACGGGACCATTTACGGTATCAGCAATGGTGGGCAATCGGGCTTACCTTCTCGAACTTCAAGTAATATGGAAAGTTCATGAGGTATTACAACTCATGCTGTTGACACTTTATCGCGAGGACCCAAATCCCACTAGGCAGCGGAATACACAAAAACGACTGGCAACACCCGAGCCACAGGAGGAATTGGCGGATGGGAACTTTCAGCCAACCTCGAATATACGATCACATATGCGAAGTCAAGGCCCAGTGGTCGATTATGAACGGTCACAAACAACAACGGAACAGGCAGGACAAAGCTCAATACCATTCACTACTCTATGGCTTTTCCAACAGGGATTTTATCATAGAAGTATTTTAACGGTCGAGGGTAACGTCTAGGAAGGGGAACGCGGTGTTACCACACCAGTGCTATACTATTTGCTATTGCGACGGTATGGTTACTATCGGGTGTCTCACCCAAAATAGAATAGGAAGGGGGGCTTATAGCTGCAGACTCTTCTACTGAGGGAAGTAAGTATAGAACAGTAGTAAGATACAACTTGATGACTGGCAATTGCGAGGTTCATGGTTACATGTCGGAATTAGAATGGACGACGGAAACATGCAGGGGTGCTTTTCTATGTGTGTTATCTTCGGAGCATTATCTTATTCTATTAGCGTTGTATCAGTTAATATTAAAAAGCGGGCTTGGTATAGGTTCCAACATGTATACACAAGGCAGGATTCTGCGACGACTTGAGGGAATCATCAACAATCAAGTCAATAGAGTCCGGGTTCCAATATCATAAGTTTAAACGCTACAGAATTATTGCTTAACACAGGCATTTCCCCAAACAGGTCCGAACTCTGTGAACTATAAATAAGTAATTATCAAGACCTAGTAACAGGCCCCACAAGATGCCCACTAGCATCAGGATCCACTCCTTGCTCAGAACTCATCAGTTCTTTACCAGAACCCCTTGTATGTACGACCGTACTCAGGGTTACTTCTACCCCACCACCACTCGTTAGTGCTCCTCGAAAGAAGATTGGCCAGAAGATCATAATCGCAGGTCGAGTTCTCACTCATTTCAAGTCTAGTGCAGTACGCTCAATAGGGCCGACAAAAACAAGTCCAACAATAGACCCAGCACCAGGCTACTCGACAGGCCCAGGAGGCTCCACTACTACCTCACAAGCACCTGTCATTGCTCCACTCAAGACTCTTGCACTGGTGACCCCAACCTTCAAGCCCCAACACTCCTCTCAGTTATTTTCTAGTGTAAGTCCATCCAAACTAGTTGACCACCCCTCACCAGTAAGCAAGAGATGAATTAGACCTGAGCTATATCCGATTGTTCAAGAGATATCCCTGATTGTCCAAAAGCTATCCCCGAGTGTTCAACAGATATCCTCAAACTCGAGGACATTTAAGATAGTTCAAGCAACCAAAGGGAATATGACTTTAAATCTACTTAAACTACCAAAACTGCACACAAGCATCCGCAACGGCCTAAAAATGGAAATGCCAAATGTAGGTTGAATCAATAAAAACGCCTCCGGATCGGCTGCGTTTAAGTCCCCATACTTTTACTTAAAGAACCTGCCCTCCGTCAATAGTTTTCTGACAATTTGGATTGTGTATGATGCCAGTGTTTATAGAGCACTGGCGAGTAATATACAGTATCTCATCGTGGATGTCGCTACAAAGGATAAGTTATCAAGGGGACAGAGATACTGACAGTTGAAAGAGACTGCCACTGATAGTGACGATGATAATAACGGCGGTAGTCAGGCAGCTGAAAGACCCTATCGCAAAGTAAAGGAGCTGGCAGTACCCCCGCCACTCGTTTGATCTGCCATGATGGTTACCATGGTGGACCCAGGTGATCTATGGCAGTCTTTGTACTTGTACCAGGTGCTTATGCCTAGAATTATCCCCTGAACGAACCTTCTTTCATCGGAGTTTCGACCAAAATAACTTTCCCCACTTATACAGCTCAATCCCGAAATACACTGTACCTGGCAGAGCAGTCAGAACTATCTGGGTGGTCATGGAGAGCATCTTCCCGGTGGGTGTTCCTCTTATTCAAGCGGTCGAGGTACAAATTAAGAATTCAGAGGAGCTCCATAATTAATTAAAGTACAGCAATACCAAGCCTATGAAGATATTGGGGGTACTCAAAAGGGGAGGAGCGGGTGCTAACCTATGTGTTGAGGAAACCCCCTGTTCAATGCGGTATTCCGTCATGTTCAGGAAGATGATTATAGCATGATCGATATTTGTGCAGACAAATCGGATTACGAGGAAGGAAAGCATCGGATAAATGCCAAAAGGCTGATGGTATATGTGCCTGGAACTGGTTGCCGTAATAAATGGCTAAGTCAAACTCTTGTTAGCATTCACAAGAGACAGCAGGAGGCTATCGATGATTTAGCCCCCAAATACATTAGGTAGTATCTTTTGGGTCTCGGAGTTGTTGACCCAAACCTCTTACAGAGGACGATCTGTATACCTGTTGGGATAGCAGCCAAGAGAGCTGTTGACGCACTCGCACCTGCTCGTGCTGGATGTGGTAGTGGTGGTAGAGGTTGTGGTGATGGTGGCGGGCATCATTAGTTCCTATGGTATAATCTCTAACTTTCCTTCCTCCGGACTTGTCACTAACCTTTTGATATTTGTTAGGCTTAGTCTGTTAGCACTCCCGATAGCTGCGGAAGTGCGGTACAATTTGGTGTTTTGGACTTCACTTTGTATATCAATGAATATGTTATATCAGCTAAAAATGAAGAAGATTTGATTAGATTAGATTAGATTAGATTAGGTTAGGTTAGTCCAGGTAGTCAGTGCATTACTATTATTTCAAAGTCGAATGAAACTTCTAGATTGCACTCAGAGCACTCGGAACGTCTTCAGAAAGTGCAGTAAAACGAGTGATGATAAATGATTCAGTTGAGTGTGGAAATAATGGTAACACCGGATTATCCCTGTCGTAAGAGGATTGGCAGTGCAAATTTTCTCACCAAGAATTGATTTCTAATTCAAGATACCACAAGTGCTTTGAGAGCAGTGTGGATATTCCTACCAGTCATCAAAATAGCTCCCTCCAAACACTCCTCCAGTACAGCATCTCCTGTACCAAAGTGCCTATGACTCCCAACACGACCTGAAGAAGATGGAGAGATTGATGAGTGTGAGATATCCTCCTGACTCTTAACCCTAACTGCAGGCACGCACTCGGACTTGTCAATCGATAACCGTTACTACAATAACTCGGAAAGATCTTCTCGGTTCTTCCAATACCTCAACTGGGAGGAGCAGTGCTTGGAGGATAGAATTTCATCTCTCCGAGGATCATACTGATAATTTTGAGGCACTGGAGGAGTTTGAGGCAATTTAGGTGCCTGAGGTGAAAGATATAGTTGATACTAGCCACTTAGACTATGATTAAGCTCCAGAGAATAACCTCGATAGCTTTTAGGAGTATCAGGATGAACCGGAAGATGAACCTCCAGCCCTCCCTCAATCTTGCACCCAGAGGTCTCAGACTCCCAGAAAGAGACCTCATACAGTTCAACCAACCACTGCGAAAGCACTGCACAACGCTCAAAGGAAACCAAGTGCCGTGTTCACGGAGGTAATTACTTTTTCCGATGTATATGTGGAAATGGTACAGGTTCGACTCTATCCCGTCAATCCAAGCTTTTCAACCAGTCAGTCTTAGTGGTTAACGATTCATAGAGGAACTCATCGGGGCGCGAAAGTAATACGTAAACAAAGGAGAGGAACACACACTCTAGCACCCAGTCGGAATGCATGCTAGGGAGCACTCCCGGCATCCCAGAGAGCATCCCCAAGACCCTCACAGTTTAAGCTATCTGCACTTATTTATCTACATTAGTATACCTCTTCTAAACGCTATATTGATTTTTCCCTCATGCACTCTTGAAACGGAAGGTCGTCTCCTACTTAACGGACATATCGTTCTTTACCGAGTAGCGGGGTAGTTGGCAAGCACTCTGTGAGTAGTCATTCCGGGAATTATCGATACATTGTATTTAAAATTCTTCGATGTGGTAAGAATGCTAGGGGTTAGGGATTCCGAATTCCTAGAGCGCATAACCGCGACCCTTATTTGCCTGATATCGACAGCGATCTAGAACGGCAACCAGACGTAGTCCACAGGGAGTTACTTGAATCCTGATAATTTTCAGTCAAAGAATGAGAGTGTTGTGATTAGGTGTGGCCCGATACCCTCATTGATATGGCGGGTGACTTGCGAGCAATGCCGGAAGCTATTGGGGCTATACGGGATTGCCCGACTGATAACCAAACTCGAGTAGAAACATTCAAAATTATGAGCAATGTTTAGAAGATGAGAAATAAACAGAACTAGGAGGCCACCTTGTAGGTAATCAAAGACAACTTTTGAGAAAAGAAATTATACTTCTAGATGCGGGTATTGCGAGTGGTATTCTAAATGATTACCCTAATAGATACGAAATAAAAAGGGGGTAACTATTGAGGTGTTACCGGAGGAGGATTTCAACGGGGACGATGAACCGTTGGTTGCGGATTGTGCCAAATTCCAAATGCTCAGAGAACAGGCACGAGTGCTTCAGGAGGGCGGGTTTGTTCCGACAGTACCCAGTAAAGAGTGATTAATGCCCAACCTCGCGGTATTGACACCGAAGAGGAGGGGGAGGAGTAAGGGGAGTAGCTGGGATTACTTGTAGCGAGGGATTATGAAAGGAGGGAGAGCAGGATGTGTAGAACAATCACGAGTGCTAGGGCAGATAGTGGAGGATTTGTTCTTTTCCGTATACGGTATTAGGGTTAGTTAGGATTTTTAAATAGCATATCATTTGAGTATTAGGTGGAGTATCACGGTGTTGAATAGACCAATGCTAAAGGTGCAGTTGTGGGTGCTATGGAGGCAGTAGAGATCGTCTTCCGAATGATGTTTTGATAATCTCATTGGGGAATTGTGAATCCTAGAGCCTGGTACCGTGGAGAGGTGTATTCCAGGAGAGAATGAGGTACCGACATATAGGAAGCGGTACATCATGCGTGACTCAGGTTTGAAAGCACGTGATCTGGCAAATTCAGGAGGCGTCAGGGCAATAAATCTATCCCAGGGCCAACCGGAGAAGTTGGGAGTAATACAGGAGTAGTAAGGATAAACAAGGGAGCAACTGTCGTACCCTTTGGATAATAGTCTAAAGATCACAAATCAATACAATCATATAAGTATGATTACAACTGAAACCATAAATCATTAACAGGAACTTGAAATTTTAGTTTATCAACGAATCAGATTACATCAGCAAGCTACCGTATGTCTCCAGAGACCTATACTTGTCTGAAGAGACAGCTGCTAAGGCGAATTGTCTCCTCA